GGGAGTGGGGCCTGACCAGTGTTAAGGGACCAGAACAGGCAGCTGTTGTTAGTGGGGGTGTCTGGGGAAGGCCAAAGGCACAGATTGGAGGGGGCGGAAGATGAGGAACACAGAGGAGCAGGGAGAGCCAGACACACCACAGCAGTGAGCACGGGGCTTCTAGGGGTTTCAGAGACCCCAGAACCAGACCAGGGAGCCCCCAAACCCACCCACAGCCTGGAAGCCCCAGGGTCACATGAGTGGATATTCCTGGTGGCTGTAAGGGCAGGGGTCAGAGGGATGGAGCATGGGTCTCAGCCCCTGAGGGAAGGGAACAGGTGTGGTCAGAACCTCCTAGGATTCTGCACCCTGGATCCAGTCTCTGAAGAGATTATGGATCATTCGTTCATTCACTCATTCCCTCCCTCCTTCATCAGAGAACTACTGAGGGTGTCACACACTGAGGCTTGTGCTGGTGCAGGGTGTGAGTGGGGGGAGGGAAAACCAAGTCCTGTTCTGTGTCCTTGGCAGGAGTGACATGGACACACCAGGAAGAACATGGATTCAAGTCCAGTGGGGACTTGAATGGGGAGGGGGAGCCGAGGGGAGGCCTGGGTATTCCTGGCATTGACTCTGCTTGCTGAGGCAGGAGGTCTAGGTCTGGAGGAAAACTGATTAATTCTCCATTTGATCTTACTCCCAGACTGCAGTTTCCCCCTCTGAGCTGCAGACGCCTGAGACGAAAGCAGCTGAACCAAGGACTGGCACTGGGGCCCCCGGATGCCAAGTAAGGGCCCGGCGTTGGGGAGAGGTCGAGGCTATGGCTGCTGACAGGCTTCCCGGGGCTCTGATCTTCCAGTCATATTTTGTGTGACCCTGTCCAATGACTGTATGGCCCTGTGCCTCCATTTCCCCTCGGTAAAATAGGATAAATTATCAGTAGTCTCTGGCTTATCATGACTGTGAGTTAATCTTAGATGTTCCCAATTACCCGACCTAAAGCTTTGTGTAGAGGAGCTGCCCAAATAAACAGCATCGATTTTTGCTGGAGCCAATGAAGGAGCTTCTCAGCCTGATCCCTGTGAGCAGCTGCCTCCAGGAGCTTCCTCTCTCCTCTGTTCCTTCCCTGAAGTCTCTTAGGTCCCCAGGACGGAGCGCTGATGGCCTGAGGAAACTGTTTGTCTGTGCCACCCACACTGAGCCTCAGGTCACTAACTGGGCATTGTAATTGCCCAGGCTGTGGGGTCCGGCCCTGGCTGGTGACCAGCTCCAGTAGCCTTGGTCCTCAGACAGCTGGTCAATCATCATACCCAGTCAGTCCTGCCCAGGATGCCAAAGCCCAGCCCTGGCCATGGGCTCCTCAGGGTCTTCTGGATTCAGAAGCCCCAGGTGTGAGCTTCTCTGTGAGTATCCCAGGGCCCCTCAGACCAAGCCCTGACTGAGTCCCACAGGCTCCTTCTCATGGTCTTGTCCGTGGGGAGGGTCCAGGTGCTCGTCTGAGACTAAAGTCCCCCTGCTGAGTTGTCCCGTCAGACTGGTCCTTCCCCAGGGAATGTCTGCAGGGTCTGGATGCAGGAAAGGATTCTGATCTCTGAAGTCTGTCCCACAGTGTGTGTCCTGCTCTCAATACCCAAACCCCAACAAGGGAGGGGACACAGAGGGGGAGGGCAGCAGCCACCCAGCCTGACACCTGGTGTGTGTGAAGTAGAACCATCCCACCCCCCAGTACCCAGAGGTCACAGGATCACTCACAGTAAACATGTAAGTGTCTAGTTGCTTCTTCACTCAGAAGATTTTGTGGTAAGACTTGTATGGCTGACGTTCTGCAACAGCAGGGACCCATTGGGGTACATTGTCTCTCGGCCGCTGAGTGCAGGCCCTGGAGTACTTGCTTGAGTGGCTACTATGTACAATAGAATTTGACTGATGCTGTCCACCTCGTCTCCTTTGTACCAGGTGTAGTTCAAAGGACTCTCTGTCATATTGTGGACAAGTAGAAGGACATTCGTCCCCTCTGCAGCAATGGGCAGCCAGGATTCAACAGTGAGCTGGGCAGTGGAGGGCAGGTTCCTGGAGGCGAGAGGTGGGTTTAGGAGGGAGGAGAGAGAATTGATCCTTATTAGGAACTTTGTATTGGAATGGAAAATGGGGCCCTGGGTCCTGAGCAGGTGTCTTTACCGTCAACCTTAGGTAAGGTTGAGTGTGAGTGTGTGAGAGTGTGTGGGTGTCCCCTGGGTCAAGGTCAGCAGCATGACCCCATCACTTCAGCGCCTTTGGACTGGTCAGGTCCCTGTTTGGAATCTTCTTCCCAGGTGTCTGCACGGCTCACCCCCCACTGCCCTCAGACCCTGCTCACATTCAGGGACGTTCTTGCCCCTTCCCTGGCCACCTCCTCTAGGGATGCTGGGTCTTCCCCTGTGACCTTTCCCTGCCTGCTCCCTCTCAGGCTCTTGTCCATACCCGACCTCACATTGGAGATCTCTCTGCTCATCTGTCCTCCTCCCACTAGAACGTGAGCTCTGTGAGGACAGGGACTTGTCTGGCCTGTGTTGTTCCCCAGAGCCTGGGACAGGCTGGAGACACCTGTGGGTGCCTTAGTGAGTATTCCCAGGGCCCTGCATGTCCTGGTGTTATTTGCCAAAAACATAAAGGTAATTTGTGATGCTGGTGGGTAAGGACGATGTTTAGTGCCCCTGGTTATTCTTTCCTTTGGAGTGTCACCCTGATTTGGTTATTATTCATTTTTTCCTTTCTTTTTTGGAGACAGAGTCACATTCTGTTGCTCCAACTAGAGTGCAGAGGTGTCATTGTAACTCATAACAACTGTAAACTCCTATGCTCAAGTGATCCTCCTGTGTCAGCCTCTGGAGTAGCTGGGGCTGACTATAGGCATAAGCCACCATGACCAGCTAATTAAAAAAAAATTTTTTTTTGCAGTTTTTATTTTGGCCAGGGCCGAGTTTTAACTTGCCACTCTGGTATACTGGGTCCGCACCCTACTCCTTTGAGGCACAGGTGCCGCCCTAAGTTTTAAATTTATTATGGAAGGTCTCTCCCTTGCTTAGGGAATCCTACTACTTTGTTTTCCCAGAGTGCTAGGATTACAGTGTGAGCCACTGTGCCCAGCCTGGTATTTATTCTTATCATTTACAAATATGTAGTGAGCAGTGATGTTTAACATGGAGAACAGAATACCTGAGATCTTTGCCCCTGAGACGGAAGGCAGCGAATCACTTCAGGGCAGGAGTTAAACCATCCTGGATAATAAAATGGAATACCATGTCTTGTATAGAAAGGTCATAGCAATATCCCCTGTGGTCACTGAGACATTCACCTGTTTCTCCCATTACAGGGTGTTGACACTGAGCCTCCCAGGACAGGAACAGTGCCTCCCTCCTATTCTTCATCAAGACTGGGCCTGCCTGGGTTTTCCTGGGACAGGGAATCATCACCAGCCTGAGTATCCAGGGGTGAGGATCTGTGTCCTTGGCTGGGCCTGAGAAGGACTGAGTGGCCTCTGGCTGTTTTGAGTTGGGCTGGCAGCCTGGGCCACCGAGGAACAGAGAGCCTCATGGAGCACATTCACGGTGACGAGGTCACTGTGATGGGCACACACTGGGTTCTCGGTTCCTCACTCACAGGGTCCAGGGTCCCCGTGACACTGAGTGAAGTGAGAGTCCTGTTGCCTTCACTCAGCCTCAGGCTGGGACTGACTAGCAGGCTCTGGCTGCTTATCTAGCACAGGTAGGTCGTGTCCTGAGTCTCTGGTTCCCAGGTTACTGAGTCCCGAGGTTGGAGTTGTTGCTTGTGACAGAGGGTCTGGGTAACTCAGCTGTGCTGATAACAGAGAGAAGGTTGCCCTCTGTGGTGTCTTTGATTCCTATCTGTCACCTGTAGCCAAGCTGAGTCACCAAAGACCAAGGCAGGTGTGTGTGTCACAAGACAGACATATGAGTGTCTGGGGGTCAGAGAAAGTGAGGCTGCCTGCTCTGTCTGGGAAATGCACAGACTTTCTCAAGTGTGAATTAAGCCCCAGCCTTGGGTTGTACAGACACAGGGCTAGGAGTCAGAGATTCCCTGGCACCTCTTGTGGCCCTTCCCTGAGCTCTGACTGTCTTAGTGTCCTCAGTACACATGGGTGCTGAGTTCCTTTCAGCTGCACAGTCCGACATGCCCAGCTGTGGGGCATTTTGTCTGAGGCTTCAGTAAACAAGGGCATCCTAGAGCTGGGTGATGGTGGAGCCTCGGTGTTTGGGAGAAGGTATGGGGGTCACCAGAGTTCTCAGGTCTCCAGGGGCTGGAGGTGGACAGTTCTGCTCAAGGCACAGTGACTGACTTGGTGAGTAACTCAGTAAATGGTGGGGGAGGTCTCAGGAATGATCTGGAAAGAGCGAGGGGTCAGGGAAGAGCAGGAGGCTTTGGAGCAGAACCATGTTTCTGTCCTTGGCCCTTACTGTCTTTTCTCCCCCTGCAGGGACAGGTGAGGACCATGAGGATCTTTCCAGAAACACCCGTGGACGTTCACAAATGCAAAACTGACTTGTGGAATGAGGAGAGCGTGAACAAGCTGGAACTCTGGCCCTCACGGACCTTGTCTATTGGGCAGGTGGGATAGAAATCTGAGCAGCAGCTAAACTTTTTTCCATGAAAATTATCAATACCCAGGGTCTGATACTGATTTCTGGGAGGAATATTACTCTAGAAGAGAGTAAAGACCCGAGGGTCTCAGTTTCAAAACCCCTCGGGCCCCTGTGGCCCTGGTCTCGATCACCGCAGGAAGCAACCAGGTATGACGCAGATTAGAAGTCCAAGCTTGTAGGAGGCGGGCTAGCCCTTCTTTGTAGGGTATCCTTGAGCAATCTCCGCACTAGGCTTTTATTGAGCCCTCACAACACAGGTGAGGGGAGTAATTTAACAAATGACTATGTGCTGAAGGCTTGGGCTCTTCTTCCAAGAGGAGCACCTGTGGACGAGTGGCCCGAGGGTCCACCCCTCAGCTGCAGATCATCTTGCTCAGAGGTCGTCTGACTCTTGGCGTCCCCTACATCTCAGCCCCTGAGGGAAGGGAACAGGCGTGGTCAGAACATCCTGGGATTCTGCGTCCAGGATCCAGTCTCTGAAGAGGTTGTGGCTCATTTATTCATTCATTCATTCCCTCCCTCCTTCATCAGAGAACTACTGAGAGTGTGGCATGTGGGGCATTGTGCTGGTGTAGAGTGTGAGTGGGGAGTGGGAGAGCCAAGTCCTGTCTTGTGTCCTCGGTGTGAGTGACACGGACATACCAGAAAGCATAAGGCTTAGAGTCCAGTGGGGAGAGTGAGGCTGAGAGGGCGGCCTGGGCATTGCTGAGGCAGGTGGTTTAGTTCTAGAGTAAAACTGATAAATTCTCCTTTACTCCTCGCTTCTCTAAGGTTTGGATACCTAGGAAGAAAGGATTTGAACCAATGGCTGAGGAGGATGTGGCTGTGGCTACAGACAGACCTCATGTGACTCTGAGCTGCCAGTCCTGGTTTGATGACTGCATCTCTTCCTGCCTCAGTTTCCCCTCAATAGAGTAAGCTACATAATATGAGGATGGGAGGCCATCTACAAATTAGTGTTAAAATAGTCACAGGATCTGACATAACACTTGGCACAGAACAGCTGCCCAAACACAGGGCATCTGCCATTATTGGGTCCAGGAGAGAGTAGCCCTGCGTGCGATCCCTGGAGGGCAAGCAGTTGCCAAGAATATTTTGTCTCCTGTGTTCTATCACCTGGAGACATTGACAGCCCTAGGCCATCTCTTAATTTCTCCATCCAGTGGGCTGATAGCCTCAGATGGAGCTGGTCCTTCTGCCCTTTCCACATCATTTTCAGTTGATGAGAGTTGGCTCTGCCCTTGAGGCTGTTGGGTCAGGCCCTTGGATCGCTGATAAATCATTATTCCCAGTCAGTCCTGCCCAGGAGGTCAAGACCCAGCCCTAGCTACAGCCTGCCCAGGGTTACCTGGGCTTAGGAGCCCTGGGTTTGAGCTTGTATGTGACAATCCCAGGGGGGACCTCAGGCCAGGCCCTGAATGAGTCCTACAAGTCCTTCTCAGGGTCGTGTCCAAGGTAAGGACCATGGGGGTTAGAAACACTGATTTTCTCCTGCTAAGTTACCCCATCGTATTGTCCTTCTCTCCACAGTGACTGTCAGGTTGTCTGGATCAAGGAAGGAAATTCTTATTTTTGGAAGTTTGTCCCACACTGTGTGTGTCCTCACTAAATGCTGAAACCCCAACGTGGGACATAAATGCAGGGTGAGGGGCTGGCACAGCTCAGGCCTGATCGGCCCATGTGTGTGAAATAGGACTAACCCTACCCCTGGTGGGGCAATGTAGAGGGAGGGTGGAGGGGTCACCTGTCCCTGTCTTGTGACTTGTCCCAGGTGTTGGCTTCACAGAGAGAAAGAGCCCTGGGCAGGGACATTGTGGAAGCTCATTCCTTGAAAGGGACTCTGAGGACATTGGCTTCCAGAGAGAGTGGCCCACTAACTGGCAATGGTTAGTGCCAGTGGTCCATTGTCTCATGGACGCAGGGCCGATGGAGGCTTCTCTGACTGATTCCTGTGGTTTTACTATTGGCGGGAGTGGGGCCTGACCAGTGTTAAGGGACCAGAACAGGCAGCTGTTGTTAGTGGGGGTGTCTGGGGAAGGCCAAAGGCACAGATTGGAGGGGGCGGAAGATGAGGAACACGGAGGAACAGAGAGAGCCAGACACACCACAGCAGTGAGCATGGGGCTTCCAGGGATTTCGGAGACCCCAGAACCAGACCAGGGAGCCCCCAAATCCACCCACAGTCTGCTGTGTCCTGCCAGATTCTTCCAGGACACAGTGGGCACATGGGACGGTCCAGAAAGTCTCTTGGCGTAAGATATGGAATTCAGGCTGCATCTTCACCTCCTCAGCCAAAGCCGGGATCACAGCTGTGGGATTGTTTCTCTCATATCATCTGTCCTGATGTCACACCCTGGAGGGAACAAGGAGATCTCTAGCCAGTGTCAGAGCCTGCCCTAGGGAGGCTGACCAATTTCCATAGGATAGAGCCAGCCTTGGCCCCTTGACCCCTGCGCAGGATGCTGACCCCTGTGTCAGGATGCAGGGTCCGGTCCCCCTGAATCCTGTTCATTGCAGGTTCCCAGGGTGCCTGACTCCATCTAGTGCAGGAGAGAGCCCAGGGGGAGGATTGGAGTTGTCCAGGGGACTCCTAGTCCAGTGTCAGGAGAACTGTCCACCAGGGACAAGGGTGGTCTCAGAAGGAGCCTGTCCCTGGGGCTTCACAGGAGGGATGTATGGAGATGCCTCTGGAGGCCCCCGGGGAGGATGCTGGGCTGGGAAATGGCCCCCAGAATGTCCTTTGTTTTCCTCTATCCCAGCCCTGGGGATGTTGCCTCAAAGTCATCTGTTGCTTTGTCTGTCGTCTGCTCCAAGCTCCCCTCAGAGTCCAGAAAGTAGGGCAGCTCCACCTGGGTCAGGAGAGCCCCGGGCTCCTCTGTTAGGGAAGGGGAGGGCCCGCACACATTACAGGCATAAAGACAGACATAGACCAATGGAATAGAATAGAGAGCTGAGAAATAAACACTTATACATATGTTCAAATTACTTTTATTCTTTTTTAAGACGGAGTCTCACTATCACCCTGGGGAGAGTACCATGGCATCTTCGTAGTTCACAACAACCTCAAACTGTTGGGCTCCAGCGATCCTTCTGCCTCAATCTCTCAAGTAGCTTAGACGACAGGCACCTGCCATTATGTCCAGTTAGTTTTTCTATTTTTAGTAGAGATGGGGTCTTGCTTTGCTCAGGCTGGTTTAGAAATCCTGAGCTCAAGCAATCTACTCCCTTCAGCCTCCCAAGAGCGCTGGGATTACTGGTCTGAGCCACCACACCTGTTCAAATGAGTTTTGATAAGGTTGCCAACATCATTCATTGGCCAAAGGACAGTCTATTCAACAAATGGTGCTAAGGAAACTTGATATCCACATGCAAATGGATGAAGTTGAACCCTTACCTCACAGAAGAATCAACTCAAAATGGACCATAGGCCTATACGTAAGATCAGGTCTTACTATGAAACTCTCAGAGAAACACAGGGCAAAAACTGCATGACATTAGATATGGCACCAATTTCTTGGCTGTGACGCTAAGAGTGCAGATAAATAGATAAACTGGACTGCATCAAAATAAAAAATCTCTGGGCTTGGGGCTAATATGGCGGACAGGAAGTGGCCTGCACAGGTGCCTCTCATGGGGAGCTCTCACGGAGAGGTGAGTGCATATCCACCTTCGGATCACACTGTGAATCAAAAGACAGGGGGTGGGAGGCACCCACAATGAAGCAGGGAGAAGAAAGGCCACTTGTGCTATGATTTGGATTCACATGGCAAAGATAAGCACACACGTGGGGAAGGAATGGGGGGAATCTCAAGGCTTCCCGCTCGCCCTGTGATCACTGCTGTCCAACCTGTGGGAGGAACCCTGCACTGCAGAAGGTCACAGGCCGGACACAGGGAGCCATCTGGAGACTGCAGAGGCATTGCTCTGGAGAGAGGGCATAGCAGTGATTCACTGGCTTGCAAACCTGGGCACTGTAGCTGCCATATTAAAACCCTAGACCCAGAGCACTGCCTGTTCCCACGTGTCAGAGTTGCTGCTGCCTCCCCTTTGCCCCTGGCAGTCTGAGAAAGGCATGGGAGCAGGGATGCCGGGGCTCTTGTGAGTCCTGTGAGCAGGTGCCACGTACCCTCACTATGTCTGGGGAACCTGGGTGGTCAGACAATGACCGCCACCTGTCGATGGGGGCGGGGCTGGGCTCAAGCCAGCACCTGGCCAACAAATATGGCTGTATGTGGGTCTGAGCAGGCAACCCTCAGGCTAGCTCAGCCTGACAACCGCCACTGCTGACAGAACTAGGTGGGGCATTCACTCATTCTGCAATGTGGGGACTGCCAGTGACAACCACAGGGGAACGGTGAGTTAGGAGATGCAGGAGAGCAATAGTGTTAAACTCTCACATTGCATCCACCCATCTTGGGCCAGGCCAGTCTTCCACAAGTGCACCGTCCTGGGACCTTCTCTTCTTCTTTTTTTGTTTTTTATTAAATCATAGCTGTGTACATTAATGCAATCATGGGATACAATGTACTGGTTTTATATACCATTTGAAATATTTTCATCAAACTGGTTAACATAGCCTTCACCGCATTTCTTAGTTATTGTGTTCAGACATTTATACTCTATACTTAGTAAATTTAACATGCACCCTTGTAAAATGCACCGTAGGTGTGGTCCCACCA